TCTAGCCTAGACTTATAGCGAATGTTAAAAGTATAAAAATATTCCAAAGTTAGAAATATAAAAATATTTTTAACATTCTCTACGTAGGAAAATGCACGTTAAATTCATTTATTTCAATTTCTTTGAGATTCTTATTTCATTTTTCCACCCATCGGTCATTCTATCGATGATAGGTGCGATGTTAATCTCGCGCCTGTGGGTATGCAACTGGTCGCTACACCGTGCGTGGTTGCCTGCAGACAGGCGCCAGGCGCGTTCGTGGCACCTTCGTGCCGAGTTGCAACACGGAAAGAATAATTTTCAAATAAATCACGTCCGACAAGTTGAAAAGTACCGTATTATCTTGCTCGTAAAAAGTACGATTGCAGGATGGCACGCTGCAATTTGGTAATTAAGTGGCTGTCGAAGAATCGTCCGCTATTCAGTGGTACGATTATCGTCGTTAATCTTCCAGGCTAATTACAGCCGTCTCGACTGCGCGATTGTTAATTACAACACAATGACAAGGTAAACGAAGAACGATAAACGAAGGTAAGGTAAACGAAGCTGGACATATCGAATTTCCGACGATCGAAAATAAGCTTGTTAAGCGAGTTTATCGCGGTTCTTGTTTTACGACTCGAAGACACGCATGAGAGCGCTCGGCCAGCGTGAACTGGCTGAATGATCGCGCAATTATAGCCGCAACCTTGCTCCTTTCCAGCAATTTGTACCGTTGCGTCTGACGTAAGCTCACGGCAATAATTCCCGACCCGATCTTTACACTACGCACTATCGATTCTCTAATGGAAACCTCGACCTCTTCATCGAACGTACTAAAAAATTCCACGCTTTCTTTTTTTCTATTACCCGATCTTTACACTACGCACTATCGATTCTCTAATGGAAACCTCGACCTCTTCATCGAACGTGCTAAAAAATTCCACGCTTTCCATCTTCCACGTCTTTCTCACATAGTCAACTCCTTGCCAAATTTTTCTACACCTAAATTCTACCTCGATCACCTCTACACCTAATTTCTAAGTACCCATACCTAAGTTTTACCTCTTTCTTTTGTCAAAACGAGTTTCGTGTATAACAACTTAATAAAATAATACAGCAATGGAAGAAGAAGAATTAATTATTTATACAAAATGGTTTCCACCCGAATAATTTTGACATGTCAAAATGAAATCAACCAACAAGACCATGAAGAGTTGGTTTCGTTAGGCTGGTTGAAAAATCGAGTAACGCAGTGTCTGGGAAACGCGTGTGGTGTCGGTGACAATAATGGCGGAACCGTCCCGGCGGAAATCGAAAGTCCAACAGGTAGTCGGGGCGATTTCACGCTAATTCGCGATTGTCGCGCATGTCCTTGCCGCAGCTCGCACAGGCACGATGCATTCCGGTTTTTTCCCGATCGTAAATTACCGAGGAACGTCTGTCTGGCTGGAACGAGTCCGGGATCTCGATGACGACACGCTTCGTTCCGACGCGTGTGCGAAACACTTGTCCGCCTCGCGTTTTTCCCGCTGGTTTTTCGCTAAACTGCTCCTCGTTTTATTCTCAGCCTCGACTACGGAGCGATTTAACTCTAATTACAAATGGAAATAATAACTTCTGCACGGCCACTCGTCCTTTTATTTTTAACCTCGACTACGAAGCTATTTAACTCTAGTTGCAAATGGGAATGACTTTTGCATATCGTATCGAGTTACGCGCTAGCGTAAGAGGAGGAATGCTTTATCTAAAAGAACAAATTGCCCTATCAAAACATAGCGATCCTCGAGTGCAATGGTAAGAATTACGGTAACGAGTCCCGTCTTCGTTTGTTCCCGATGCGAGTACTGTAGCTCACGGTATCGAATTCCAATCTCTGTTTACGGTTTTATCGATATCGCTTATTAAACAGTCGCCAGCGTTGAATAATCTGCGCGTTCCTCTTTGTCTCTCCTCCTTTTCGATATTCCTCTGTCTCTGTCCTCAAGCGTGTCACTGCTGTGCCACATGTACAATCGCAGGCCTGTCTCTGCCCCTCTCTCTTCCAACGCTGCATTCCCCTCTGTTTTCCTCGCGGGTATTCTTCCACGTGTGAGAGACTATATCGTTTGGGAAAACACGAGTCTATCTACGAGATATCTCGATTCTTATACAATCGCACCGAGCCATCGAGGATGCTAGAGTAAGACGAATCGCGAGGCTCAGGTCGCGTACGTAACGGCCAGCATCCGGAGCAGAGTCGTTCCAGCTTCTCGATGCACTCATCGATCACTCGATGTGTTCGTTAATTATTTCGTATCGACGCAATTCTTGCTGGGTTATTAAATTTCTCAGAGTCACTTCTGTTTGACAGAGTTTTCCCTGTTCCACGTGGACGTGGGTCTGCTGACAAAAGCAGGTCGAGGAAAGTCGGTACAGTTTTGGCCTAATTAGAGCGATCCATGGGTCAATAAAAAGAACCTTCAGCCCCCTGCTTTCCCCCTGTCTATTATTCAACGTTTGCTCGACCACTCCTACCACGACTCCCAATTTAATTACCTACCAACCCGCATAATTCGGCTAATCCGACTCACCTAGTCTATTCTGAGATGGAACCTAGCCCCCGGTCAGCCCTGGGCCCAACGAAGCGACCAGAAACGCTGGTCCAAGTGATAAACTCTCACCTTTCACCCCAACCCGTCCGAGTTACCCAATCTCCCCATCATCGTCTGGCCGCGTTTATTAATCTCTCGGAATCAAACAGACTCGGGCTCATCCTATCTCATTAAGCGACTGGTCCCCTCCCCGGTGTCCCTCCTCGCTCTGTCTCGTTTCGTTAAACGTCAGCTGGCTGAAACGACGAGGAACTCCATCCTCTTCCAGGCCAGGCCTGCGCTCCCTCTCTCCACGACTCGACATTCTCCTGGCGGCGCTCGTTGGCTGTGTGTCGACCGACGACCGTGTGCCAACTTGCCTCTGTCCATCGAGGTTTCGTCCCTTCGCGTGCCGTTTCGCGGCCGGTCAGTCAGTCAGTCAGCTCGGTATCGCATTATGCTACGGTCGCAACGCTGGCCGCATCCTAACCGTGGCCGAGGACCAATCTTCGCGACGTTACCTGGAATCGGCGCAACGTGAGCCCCGCTGGCATGCGGCCGCAGGGAAGATGGGGAAGACCGCCAGCAAGCTGAAGTCCCGCAGGAGCCAAAGTCAGTGACGAGTTCTCCGTACTTTTCCCATTTCTCTTTCCTGGTTTCGTCATCGGAGCGGATTCTCGTCGCACGGTTTCTTTCTCTCGAATAAAACGCGAGTTCCTAGAACCACGTGGTGGACCCGGATCGATGGACCCTGCGAGGAAGGTTCCCATCATGGGTGGTAATAACCAACGAAGCTGCGTCGATTGTCTATCACGCGTGACTCGCTGGTCAGAGGTTGCAAGAAGCTCGAAGATACTTTACAACCGTGACAGTGTGGTGGTTCCGCGGGTATTCAGGAGTGGTATGATCGGTGAAAGGAGAGTGATGAGTCGCAGTGATTCACAGGGAGCACGTGCTCATTGATGGACGCTCGAGGCTGATATTGGTGAGGGATCCCGTGGTCGAGCGACCGCACGATGTCACGTATATGCCTCGTGCATCTCTGCACTTTTTTTCTCGCTGATTAACATATCGATTAGGAACACGTTTCGCGCAGCTAATACGATAACCAATTAGTCAGCTGCTTCTTCCGCGAGCATCCTTGGAATAACAATTACTCCTGAGCCTCGTTAGAGAATCGCCTTTGGGAACCGTTCTGCTCGAATTCGCCAGGCCGCTTTCCTGCTCGGGCGTTATGCAAGAGGCGAAAAATCTCTGGCCAAACAGTCGAGACGCGACGATAAGTCACCTGGCGCGATATCGGTGCTTTATCGCGCTACTCCGCCTACGCGATCGCTTCCCGGCCGACACGTGTTGAGAATCACGTCGGAGTTTTATTTCAAAATCGAAACTGGTACGAAGCTATGCTAAACGTGGGATGTAGGTCGCACGGTAGTTCCTTCGCGCGGGGCCCGCGGCTGATAAACGCTTGCACCGACCGACCAGCCGAGATAAAGACCCCCTTTGGGAATATTTACGCGCGCGAGCCAACCGTGTAAACGGTGGCAATCAGACGTTAAATATTGGTCTTGCCTAAAATTTTTCATTCGACTCCGTTTCGCTGCTTTTAATCGGGACTATGTTAAGTGGGCACTCGTGTCTCAAATCAGCGGGGATTTGAACGTCTTTTGACTCTGGGAGTCGAATTTGGGATGGAAAGCATTGGCTCGTCATGACAATGATAACGGTACCTTTCATTGTTACGTCGATAATTTCATTGTTATTCTATCGCTTCATTATACTCGCGTAGCTCTAGGTCTAATATCTTTCCCACCCTGTCGGTAATTCCGATCGCTAATAAAGCCTCCTAGCTAACAATCTAGCCTGACAGACAATTTCGAGTTAAACTCGGTATATTGCACTGCATGGTACACAGTTTGCGTAGAGAAAGCCTGTCTAATTTATTACAACGAGAAATTGGGTAATCAGACTGGTAGAAACTCGAGTGAAGTATAGGTGGAGCGTATATCATCGCAATTTCGAGTGTACCCGAAATTTCAAAATGCCGTGATATTTCAAAATTTCTCCTATCGAAATTCCCGACAACCCGTCCGTCCCTGTTAGCTGTGTACAAACTGGGTCCAATTGAAATTCCAGCCGCGAGGTAAACGCGCATATAATTACGCGGCCACGGAGGAAACGGGGGAATCTCGACGCACGTTTCGTGCACGTGAATAAAGCTTCTTTTTTTCGAGACGTACGCGCAAAGAATCGACCGCGTCGAGTCACGGTCTTCAATGACAAAGGGATGCCCGTTCTTCAACCGGGTTGCCGCAATTCTCTAACGCGATACCCCGTAACGAAGTTCTTCCACGTTTGCGTTTAAGTTTGGAAACGTTCGTTCAAACGCGTGGTAGAAAAATCGTAGGAATTTTCGTGACAGGTAGAAACCAAAGGATCACGTTCATTTCTCGAAAGGCGAGGGGACAAAGAGGAAATAACGGCAACAGGTGATTCTGATTGATCCTCGTTAACAATGGCCGACTCGATTTGATCGCTGATGTAATCTGCTTTCATGGAATGCAAATGGGAATCGAGAATATTAAAATCTCCCATGAGATAATCGTCGAGAAATAGTATAACGAGTATAAGGAATAATTCTGGTCGAGTTTACGACTGTGGAATTTTTTAAAATCAACCAAACCTCTAAAAAATATCTAAATTAAATTCAGAATTCTTCAAATTTCCATAGATCACCGATTTATTTAAATCAGCTGCGAGATTATAATCGCGAAAAATATTTCCCAAGTTTATTCGCTTGTCACCGCTGTGGCCTCGAACACGACGTCTATGACGGTCTTTTCGGTCGATAATGGCTCTCCAAACGTTGCATAGTTATCTGGGTAAACGGACGGCTTATCAGCGTCGCCGGGTATTATGTCGTGGAGCGAGCGAGCGACGCAAAACACACCTGCATTCCAGGCACTCGGTTTTTCGAGCGAACACTCGCTCTTCTCCTTTTTCCTCGAATAGCTATCGAGAGGTCCCATTCCTCGCGAGTGTCCTTTCATTTCTTCCTCGAATGCGCCGTGAAATTTTTGGCCGGCCGAGAAAGCTCGCTGGCGACCAAGAGAGAAAAAGGTCTGGGTACACGCGAGTCGAGGGGATGGTGAAAGCGCAGATGGGGTGTTTAGAACAGGGCTCGAATGGCCGGGGTAGGAAGAGCCATTTAGACGAAGAAGGGAAGAACAGAAGAAAAGGAAAGAAGCAAGATGGAGTTTGTCCTTTCTTTGTTTCTCGGAACCTCAACCATAAAGAATCTTGTCCGCGATGGCGGAAAGGGGGGACGCGTGAAAGGATTTTCCTTTTGTCCGTGGTTGCTTTTTCGGCGAAGCGGTTGCATTAGGCTCGATTATGCAGATTTACCGATCGAAAGGAAACGATAAACGCTTATGTCGTTGGAATGAATGGTCCATTGTTCCGGTCGCCGCTGATCTATCGGTGACATTTCGAGCTCGAGGAATTTTTCGTCGCGTCCCGCGTTATCGTGATCGCGCGGGGCACGTCCGGCATATGCAATTCGATCGAACGATCCGCGAGTTTATTTTCCTTACCCCCCTCGAAAAAGTGCCGAAATTTCGCTGGTGACGTAACCGACCGATGTTTATCCCTGCAATTCTCGCTCCGCGATGGAAACATCTGCATTGCAAATCAGCGAAACCCGACGATGAAATATAAAGCAACGTTCGTTTGCTTGGCAAACAATTTTTATATGCCGTTCCTTCGCTCCAGTGGCAGAGCGTATCGCAAAAGCGTCGATATCGAGGTAACCTTGCTACTTGCGACAGCTGTTAATACGCTATCGCCATGTGGGACAATTGTCTTCGTATCTTTCGACAAAAAGCCACTGTTGCCTTTCAAGATCTAGCTATGGTATGGGAATAGAGAATCCTAGGGACCACCATGGTTGTAACTATTTTCGCGATGACTGTTCGACTATCGATACTGAGGAAGCACGTGACGCTAGGTGACTGTAATTATGCTTAGTATACAACGAGCGTTAGATTACTATAGCAGGCACTCGATGTTGACGACTATAGTCACCTATAGCAAACAAAAAGCCAGTGTTGCGTTGAAGATCTTAGTATGGTATGGGTGTACTTAGAAAATCCTAGGGACCACCATGGTTGAAACTATTTTTGCGATGACTGTTTGACTATAAATACAGAGGAAGCGCGTAACGCTAGGTAACTGTAATTATGTTTAATATACAACGAGCGTTAGGTGACTATAGCAAGCATTCGATGTTCACGATCTATAGCAAACGAAAAGCCAGTGTTGCGTTGAAAATCTATGGTATAGGTGTAGAAAATCCCAGGGACCACCATGGTTGTAACTATTTTCGCGATGACTGTTTGACTATAAATACGGAGGAAGCGCGTGACGCTAGGTGACTGTAATTATGTTTAGTATACAACGAGCGTTAGGCGACTATAGCAAGCACTCGATATTGACGACCATAGTCACCTGTAGCATACAGCGAGCACTCGTCCGTGACTATAGTCACCGGTGTCCAAAGAATGCTCGACCTAGAGAGACTATAGTCTCCATAGACTCTTAAAGAAAGAATAAGGGTACCATCGATGATCGACAACATAGATCGGGAAAATATCTCGGACCATAAAGAAATCATATCTGGGATGTGACGAAAAGAGAAACCCGCGAATGTATCCACCTACTGGTGCCTCCCACGAGCAAGGAAATAATCCGTATCACGCGCAGCTGGTACACGAACCGTGTTCCTGAAAATAGAGCGGAACGGGTGTTTGGAAATGCCCTGGAACAGGTACGCTTTCGTGGCGAAGAATGCGCGCGAAGTCACGCAACCCGGGAACAATTCCCGTCTGCGGTCCCTCCCTACGGAAAAGCGGAAAAACGAAGCCGAGGAAAGCGTCGGGTGAGTCTAGAAACACGGGCGTCTAGAAAAATCGCGTGGTTCCAACGGGGGGACACGGGCCCCCCTGTCCGCGACTGGAAAGGCTCGAGAGAACAGGTTTATATCCGCGCGCGTGAAGGCGAGCGAAGATAAACGAATCGAAGCGAAAGTGAGCCGAACACTTCAGTTTCTGGCCAACTGTTCGTAGGATCCGCGCCTGATCCGCTCGCTATCCGCGACGCGCATACCCGCTGGATAGAAAGGTGATCCTCGCGCCAAGTGCACACACGATCCTTCCCGAGCGTGGCTGCTGCCATCGTGATCGACTATGAACCATCGAGAGGCATTCCGGGACGCTGATAACGAGTCTGGACGCTCCTTGGCTGCACCTGCGAGCGCGACGTGCTGATTCCAACCGGAATTCCAGAGGAGGGTCCGACCGCTCGGTTCAGTTAACCAACGCGACTCGAGAGTGAAACTGGTGATCAGAGAGGGACGGAAAGGATCCTTGGATCGGGATGAAGCTCGCTGAAATTAAAAATCGTGCCTTGATCGCGGCTATAGTGAACAGTCAGGCTGTTAGTGGAAAGTGGTCGTGCGGAGGATGTGGTAATGGGTCGGAAGAAAAGCTGACGAAATGAAGATAAAAGGGAGTGTGTTGACGTCCATTGTGAGCACAGGTGCAACGAGAGTCCCTATCCTGCGAGCTAGCTCGTAAATGCCTCAGGATACTCGAGAGAATACGTCTCTCGACCCGACAGCCACTTTTTCCCAACCGCTACCATCACTGTGTCGTCTGTGCCGAGTCCAGAGGATCGAGGATAAAAAGCGGGATCGATAAACATTCGCGAACCACGTCTGCGATCGAAGCTACCCTCGTCGACGAGCGAAAGAGGAGACTCGGATGAAAGATATCGACGCAGAGATCATTTGCGTACGAGGACTGATAAAACGGATCGCAAGGCATGGAGGGGCGTTGGTATCCCTGCTGGAAATAGCGAGTCAACGGCCAACGATTTTAACACTCTCGTTCGAGCGAGCGATCCGCGTAGATCCGACGGATATCGATCAGAAGTAATTAATTAGTGGGACAGAAGTGCGTGACGTAGCCGCGAGGTGACACGATTCGGCGCGGATTGCGATGATCGTGAGCGACAAGGATCGCGCGCAGAAAAGTACCGGCATGCGTGAGTATCGGGAATCGAGGAGGAGGACGAGTAGATCGTTGGTGGATCGGTGATGCAGGTTGGAACGTCTTCGTGTCGAGTTCCTCGCGGGTCCCGTCGATGAAGAATCGAGTCGATGAGGAACATGGGTGGATGGGTCGCGATGCGAGTAGCTATAAGAAGGGAAACCGTGTAACGAGTGAGAAACGAGAGTCGTGCTCCACTTCCCGCAAAGTCGCTTTCCTAAATAGTTTATTAAATTATTTGGAAGAACGAGTGGAGAGAAACTGACGAAGAATTGGTTTGACAGGGCACAGCTATCTTCTTCAAATAAGTTCCTAAGAGGAGAGAAATGAAAATTGAAATTGAATTAGAACCCTTCATCCTAGATGTCGGAATTGTAGTAATAATTGACAGGGCACAGCTATTTTCCTAAAATAAATTCCTAAGAGGAGAGAAATGAAAATTGAAATTGAATTAGAACCCTTCATCCTGGATGTCGGGATTGTAGTAATAATTGACAGGGCACAGCTATTTTCCTAAAATAATTTCCTAAAGGGAAACGAAGATTAAAATTCGAACCCTTCATCCTAGACGTCGGAATTGTAGTAATAATTGACAGGGCATAGCTATTTTCATAAAATAAATTCCTAAGGAGAAATGAAGATTGAAATTCGAACCCTTCATCCTAGATGTCGGAATTGTAGTAATAATTGACAGGGCACAGCTATTTTCCTAAAATAAATTCCTAAGAGGAGAGAAATGAAAATTGAAATTGAATTAGAACCCTTCATCCTGGATGTCGGGATTGTAGTAATAATTGACAGGGCACAGCTATTTTCCTAAAATAAATTCCTAAGGAGAAACGAAGATTAAAATTCGAACCCTTCATCCTAGATGTCGAAATTGTAGTAATAATTGACAGGGTATAGCTATTTTCATAAAATAAATTCCTGAGGAGAAACGAAGATTGAAATTCGAATCCTTCATCATAGATGTCGTAATTGTAGTAATAATTGACAGGGCACAGCTATTTTCCTAAAGTAAATTCCTAAAAGGAGAGAATTGAAGATTGAAATTCAATTAGGACCCTTCATCCTAGATATCTGAATTGTAGTAATAATTGACAGGGCACAGCTATTTTCCTAAAATAAATTCCTAAAGAGAAACGAAAATTGAGATTAGAGCCCTTCATCCTAGATGTGGCAATTGTAGTAATAATTGACAGGGCACAGCTATTTTCCTAAAATAAATTCCTAAGAGGAGAGAAATGAAAATTGAAATTGAATTAGAACCCTTCATCCTGGATGTCGGGATTGTAGTAATAATTGACAGGGCACAGCTATTTTCCTAAAATAATTTCCTAAAGGGAAACGAAGATTAAAATTCGAACCCTTCATCCTAGACGTCGGAATTGTAGTAATAATTGACAGGGCATAGCTATTTTCATAAAATAAATTCCTAAGGAGAAATGAAGATTGAAATTCGAACCCTTCATCCTAGATGTCGGAATTGTAGTAATAATTGACAGGGCACAGCTATTTTCCTAAAATAAATTCCTAAGAGGAGAGAAATGAAAATTGAAATTGAATTAGAACCCTTCATCCTGGATGTCGGGATTGTAGTAATAATTGACAGGGCACAGCTATTTTCCTAAAATAAATTCCTAAAGAAAAACGAAGATTAAAATTCGAACCCTTCATCCTAGATGTCGAAATTGTAGTAATAGTTGACAGGGTATAGCTATTTTCATAAAATAAATTCCTAAGGAGAAACGAAGATTGAAATTCGAACCCTTCATCATAGATGTCGGAATTGTAGTAATAATTGACAGGGCACAGTAATTTTCCTAAAATAAATTCCTAAAAGGAGAGAAATGAAGATTGAAATTCGAACCCTTCATCATAGATGTCGGAATTGTAGTAATAATTGACAGGGCACAGCTATTTTCCTAAAATAAATTCCTAAAAGGAGAGAAATGAAGATTGAAATTCGAACCCTTCATCCTAGATGTCGGAATTGTAGTAATAATTGGCAGGGCACAGCTATTTTCCTAAAGTAAATTCCTAAAAGGAGAGAAATGAAGATTAAAATTAAATGCGAGCCCTTCATCCTAGATGTCAGAATTGTATTTAGTAATAATTAATGACAGATGTAAACCGGAACGAACAGCGCTGGATTTAGAATAGAGCAGGGATGTTTTAGATAGGGCTCGAGCGTTTCGATACGCTCCGAGACGAAACTGGTCCATTTATTTCTGGAAAACAAGCTGGATTTTAATAACACGCTCGGCAATGTTTCTCGTAGGCATAGCATGGAGCTTCCGGTTTCCATCTATGGGCACCCTGCAAAATCTAGGCGCCAGTGGCCGACGTCGAAAGAGAAACGGCATATCCTCTTCAGCCTCTTGTAAGGAACTCCATCAGAAGCGACACACGATCCACCTACAGCCGGAAGTAATTATTCAGAAGGAGCCATCCTTCATCGTAACGCCACCATCGCCGGAAGATCCGACCGAGGAAAACAGAAGGTAATCCGAGTGCACCTTGACTAACCACGAACTAACCGCTCTATCCGATCGAACGAATCAACGAGATCTACAGAGTGTTACAGGAACAGGGTCCAAGTAGACTTGCGATGCTCGTTGTAAAGAACAGAGTGTCTGATCGAATTGAATCCTGAGAGCGAAAGTGGAATACGAATTTTGAAAATTTCCGAGTAATAGTTCGCGAATTAAAGTATAGGTAGAGTATACGTCACAGATTAATCTCCTCGATACATGCATCGAGTCTCCTGTTGTTGACATTACTAACTGTTGTAAAATACAGTGGATAGGTTATGTTTTACCAGGATAATGATTCAGAATAACTACACGTGCTTTCTTTGCAATAGCTTGGAAAGAAGTAACTCCCATCGTTAGGTTATATTTGAATTGTCATAAAAGATACCAGATGTCGCTAGAAGCGTCTAACAACATGGCGTGGGAGATTAGAACTCTCCAACACTAAGCTGCTATACCCTCTAATATCATTGTATTTATATATATCATACCAAATTCATTCTTTTGTTTATATTTGAAACGTAGATGTTCATTTACGATATCTTGGGCTCTAGAATAGAAGACTCGAAATTTTCGATCCTTTTTCCGTGACACTCTGTATACTCCGTGACGTATACTCTATCTTTGTTTATATTTGAAACGTAGATGTTCATTTACGATATCTTGGGCTCTAGAATAGAAGACTCGATGTATGTATCGAGGAGATTAATCCTCTTACGAAATTTTCGATCCTTTTTCCGTGACACTCTGTATACTCCGTGACGTATACTCTATTTATACTTTAATTCGTGAACTACCACTCGGAAATTTTCAAAATTCGACTCGAATCGTGGATATTTGGACGATAATACTTAAGAATGTACGTCCCCGAAGGAAATGATCGAGGTCGTGTCCGGTTTCAGAGATGGAAGCGAAGGCTTCGAACGACACGGGTTCTTTGAACCCTGAAGAGAGACCTTCGAAGGACTTTTCCAGGGACTCGAGTCGAAATTCTCGCGTTATAAGTTATGAATTAGCCTGTTGGAGGGTATACGCCGAGGATGCCGGTACGGGAACATAATAGAGCCGGCAGGTCTCGAACCGGTTTTCCTCGATCTTTGCCTTCAAAGTGACGTCCTCCCTCGGCTGGCCGGGAATCCCATAACGGAAGGACGGCACAATGGGGGAAACTATAAACGTTGCACGATACTCGTACCGTTTCGTAATCCCTTTGGAAATCTGACCGACGGCCGTGGCCGATCCTTGGCCCGTCCGGCGTCGAGACTTATCTGGATTTATCTGCCACGATAACAGCCGGCTGTGTAGATCGTTAATGACTTCATAGTCTCAGCTATACGGATCGAAAGAAGTTAAACGCGGCGTAAATCGAGCGTGGTTAACGGAGTGTAAAGTGACGGTGAAATTGATTCATTTTACGGTATGCTGAGCAGGGATTGATTATGATGATGCTAATGATCGAGGTAATTAAGGTATGTTAGCGGCCACCATAGCAGAAGTTGTAAAATCGGTCAACCATCAAAGTCTGCGCACCAGCGAATGCCCGAACTTCATTTGGAACTAAGTAAAGTACAGTAGTCTATACGATAGAGAACATAAGCAAATAGGGTAGTAGGGATCTGGGGAAATGAGGCTTTTATCCTTTACTTAGACCCTCATAATTTTTCAGAAATTTTCAAGTATTCCAAAGTCCTGTTACCTATTTGGCTATTTCCTTTTCGTGAATGCTTCGTTTAATTTCCTTTCCTCTAATTCTTTATAACTTCCTATTCGCCAAATAATTGGATAATTAAAAATATAATTCCAAAATTAATGTAAAAATTAAATCAATAATTGATTTAACTTTTCATAATTTAATTTGTCCTTCACTTAGACTCATGTGAAATTTACTAAGACCAATCTAGTAAAATTTCCAGGTATACCGAAGTCCTGTTACCTATTTGGCTATTTCCTTTCCTCTAATTCTTTATAACTTCCTATTCGTCAAATAATTGGATAATTAAAAATATAATTCCAAAATTAATGTAAAAATTAAATCAATAATTGATTTAACTTTTCATAATTTAATTTGTCCTTCACTTAGATCTACGTGAAATTTACTAAGACTATTCTAGTAAAATTTCCAGGTATACCAAAGTCTTGTGACGAACTTCAATTATTGATTTAATTTTTACATTAATTTTAAGAATTATATTTTTAATAACCTTTTATAATTTGATAATATTATATCTCATGGAAAATGTGAATCTTGCAAAACTTAAAATAATTAAATAATGCAACTCCAATTCCCCAGTTTTTTTCTGGCATTATCTAATTTTTCAACTGTTTCTTCTATTCTGGCTATTTTATTCTTTTTCGTCCATTTGCTGCCTTTTTAAATACTTTTTGAAATCTTCATCGCTTTCTTTTTCTAGAGCTTTTGCTTCAATTTTTAGCTGTATAACCTTCATCTTAAATTCATCAATAATTTCAGCCTTCCTATGTATTTCAATTCTCACCCTAATTATTGTTACAGCACTGCCGGGAATATACATTTCATCGGTGCAGTTTCATTCTTTCATTACTCATACTTTCTTTATTGCAGCTCAAAATTTTAGTTTTAGTGAGCATGCACATCTTCATTTTCGTTTCTACCAATTTTGCTTTCCCCAGTGAAATTTTTCAGTTGCCCTCCAATCTTTGTTTAATAAAAATCGTAATCTCAATGGATGGTTCCTTCCGCCGAGTTTCCGCAGACGTAAGGGGGACAGTTATCGATAAAGCGAAGAGCAGCGGAGAAGTAACGCGAGCAGTTTCGCAGATATCGCGCGCGAAGTCTTGCCTCGTTGACATTAGAACGCGAAGATAAGGCACTCGGCGAACTTCTGCGAATCGTTTGCGAGCTGCTCGCATCCGTACCCTTAACGTCTATTTATACGACCGGCTGAAAATTGTTTTCGTCCCGCGGTCGGTTACAATTTGCAAACGGTGACCGTCAAACTCTAAATATAGGAACTGATGTGAGAAGTTCCTCAAGAACTAAAAACAAACAAGACAAAGAGGATGTGAAAAATGCGGTGAGTCGTGGAATAACGAATTTGGAATTTTTTCACAAAGCCCTAACGAATCTGGTAGAATAAGGCAAGAATCCTAACGATAGGGAACCAACCAGTCTTCATCGACTGACCTCAGGTAGCCTGGACTTCAATAACAGATGAGAAGCGAAGGAGTAAAACCGCGCGTGTGCATTGCATTTCGTATAACGTAGGCTTATGCGAATACTCGCATCCTTATCTCGAAGCTAAACGTTTCGTGGAATGCTATCAAACAGTCAACACGATCTTGCACCTGGTATAGAACGTGCATGGAATAAGCGTATGAAACATGCAGTGGTTGAATTTCGTAAGAAAGCTGCACGAAAACACAGGTTGATACGTAGAATATCAAATAAAAGTAGGTTTAACGCAAACAAATTTGACATAAATTTAAATCTTCGTATGGTGTGCACACATGTTGCACCCTGTGTAACCAAACAGCTGATGTTTCGAGATATCGGGGTGCTCGGATAAATTTGCTCTTTCTTAGTATTAGAAAGACAGAGAAATACGCATTTTCTACTACAAAAAGGCAAAAGATCATCGCATGACGCTATTTACAAGAAAATACAGTAGATTTAATCGAATGGATCGATTTACATCGTCAAACACGTTTGCATGACAGTGCTACCGTTAACTCGTTTGGCAATATTTAGCACCCTGATCGTGGCTCGCGTACAGACCCGTTACATACTTAATCGTCGCATTCCATCCACGTTCTTACATCGACCACCAAACAATGCACTCCCTTCCCGCTCTCGACACGAATGAAACGAATGCACAGATGCGTTTTATTACACTTATCGAGCGCCCCTATTCGACGCAGGCGCCCCAGCCTGCTTCCCGCCATATGCAACACCCTGTTCCCGAATAGATCAATAACTCGCATATCGACTAAGCCTAACATGGAGCCCTCGATAACGAGGAATTTCCGAATCGAAATGGAGGAATGGAGGATCGGGGGAAGATCTCGCTTCAGCGAGTTCACCGATCGAACGACCGGTGACTACTCGATGCTGAAAGACACTCGAGAACGGAGAAAACGCAGGCGTGGGTGAGGACGCGACGAGACACCATGGGACCGCCTCAGTGACGTAGACAGCTTGTCGAAAAATTCCATCGGCTGCTGCATTACGTCGAGTTCCAAATGACACCGAGATCTAAAATTCTGTAACAAAATGTTGCGAGATGAAGGAAGTTTGTACATAAGAAACGCGTACGATATCAACGTGACTAGTCTAAGATGTTCCACAGAGAAGGAGAAAACAAACGAGGGTCGAATTTTAATGGGTTTTTGAGTCAAAGGGGTTGCCAGCATCCGCGTGGAAAGGAAATATTTTCCTTGGCCGAGGAGAACGACGGTCGCGTTTAATTCGTCTCCCAGTCGTTCTATTAATATCACGCACAGCGCCCCTCTGATCCTCCAAAAATACGGCCCTGCTCGCGTCGTGGCTTTCCACGCACATAGTTCAGTGGGGTGCGCGCGCTCGGCCCGAGAGCCGTGTGGCCAAACCCTATCTGTCCTCAGGATTTCTCGCGGGTCTAAGAGGAAATTCCTCGGGCGGAATTGCGGTGGAAAAAGTTCGTGGAGTTTCGGCGAAGCGAGTGGTGGTTCGAGGGTTGAAAGAGGGAAAGGGTTGGTGCGGTGCGTCGGGGCGAGATGTGAGGGATCCATGGTGTAAAGTCGCTTTTTGGACGCAGGTCGTCGGAGGTAAAGGTCGAGGAGGCGGAGGAGGAGGTGGCGAACAGAAGGGAGGACTGCGACTCCTGCGAATCCGCTGCGAAAAGGGTTGACAGTAACGACTATTCCAATCTACCAATGGTAAGTGTGTGTTTTCTTTCCGTGCTCTTGGATACAACGAAGCTGTTTGGAAGCGTGCAATCCGCTGATAACGAGTGTTAATGGACGTGAATGGTGTTGATACGCGAGAGGGTTGGGTTGCTGACATCCACCCCTCTGGGGTGCAACTATGGCACGCGGTGGTTGTTGAAAATGTTGAAGTCTCAATGAAAAATACCGTCGAGTTACTTTCTAATTTCACCCTGTTTGCGCAAATATTTGAAATGTGTGGTATAACGGATGGAGATTGCTAGTGGAAGTTGCAATTCAGCGATAGCGATAGATGTTTGTTCGATGTTGTTATGGATTGCTATAGTAACGAAGCTTGATTTTGTTCGCGTGGCAGTAGTAAGAAGTAATAGACTCGTCAAAAGAATCCGATAATTGTTTCGTTGATGCTACTGTCTCGATGATCCAGCTTTCACGCGTGACACTCTAAGCCGTTGATAAGTTGTACGCATGAACGCTGACTTCGTTGATCCCTTTATAGACTCAGAACTCAAGGCTGTTCTTGTTAAGCCAATCTCGCGGTCTCGAACAGTCCAGACACTACTTTGTTCATTGTAGCGATTGTCTTACGTGACAAGTCATTCGAGGCAATAGTAAAACTCCTCTCGTGCGTGTGTTATATTAAATTGAGATCGTACTTCATAATGAAAATTAACGAACTCTAATTAGAAAGATACTTTAAAGAAGTTGTTAGATTAAGAGTAACTTAAAGTCACTTTTGCTCTAGAATTCAACGTCAAAAAATAATTTATCATCAAATGTATAGAGAAATAGAAAAGGACTCGAGATTGGCTTATTTCAATTAATATTTAAAAAAATTCTAATTCCAAGATTCCTCTCAAAATTCTAATACTTCAAAGATTACGGTGCCTTGAAGTATTTGAGAAGCCTAATTTAAATTTATATCGTCACATACTTGGTTTAGGAGCCACCGGAGGAGTCAACTCGGAAGCTTCTGGAACGAGAACTTCGACTTCTGGATCCTAGGGACTTGAGATCTCACACCTGGTACCATGGTAGCACTCTTCGAGGTGGGAGAAAGGGCGCTGAAGCGGAAGTACCGAACGACGGTGATTTCTTAGTCCGTGACTGTGCCTCTCAGCCCGGAAATTACGTCCTCACGGTCCGATGGAAGGGCCAGCCCCTTCATTTCGTTATCAACAGGGTGAGTTAACAGCGTGCACCTTAAAAGTACAAACAAGCAAATTAATTAAAAGATATCAAAGACGTACAACTTTCTGGAGAGAGAAAGAATAACTAGAATTTACAATCTCGTCGGAATGTAATACATGACCTAATACCGTTAACATACCTCAAAGAATAGAGATATAATCTTGCTGCATTAACAGGTGGTGATTCAGCCAGAGACGGTATACGAGCGGGCCCAGTACCAGTTCGAGGACGAAGCATTTGACACGGTAGCTGACTTGATAACCTTCTATGTGGGTAGCGGTCGTCCGATAAGCCAGGCTAGTGGCGCTCGTATAATCACCCCGAAACCAAGATGCGTTCCTTTGACCTGTGTGGCTGGACCGACAAGCAGTCAACACTGTTCCAGCCCTTCCTCCTCGTCCATCTCCACCGGTTCTCCGCCTCGTCTACCTCGAAAGCAGCAACGAAGTCACTCTCTGACCGCTCAGCATCATCCCTCGGATCAACACGATAGTCGTCAAACGACAAATCAGCAAGCAGTGCCTCATGGACCGGTCCAATCGAGCACTTTGCCACGAGTTCCGCCTATACAGAATCAACCACCGTCGTGTTCCCTGTCTCTGGGACGTCAAAAAATCACCAGGGTAATTTCTGATCCAGCTCTGCAACAGCAACAGCAACCAGTTCTTCAGCCGCCGAGTTTGAACCATCAAAATTCGCATGGAACAGCTCCACCCAAACCACCAAGAGTACCATATGCTCCTAATCATCAGCATCACGCTCATCACCATCATCATCACCACCATCACCATCACCAGGGCTACCAGGCGTCCGGAAGCGACAGTGGGAATGGATCTGGGGACAGTGAGTTCGAGACGAACAACTCCGGCGGTGCTAGTAATCCATCTTCCTCTGCTCCTATCAAAGGAGTCGTGATTAGAAGCCATTACAATACCAGCAACGATGGTACCAACGGAAATAATGGCAACGAATATGAATTATCCGCGGAAGAGCAGCTAGTAATAGCTGCACCGTCTCTAGAGATTACTACGTCATTGGACATCGAAGGGTTTACTACTTTACTCTTACCAGCTGGCGAACACAGGCCTCTGGATCCCACGGCATTGAGAGGAGTGTCTGGAATGTTGCACGATTCAGCGCCAAGGGTATTAGCCTCACATCTGACAAAGATAGACTTAGAACTGGCTCTGCAACCTGGCCCTGGAAACAGAAGTGGTCTCAGTGGCATCGAATTAGCTACTCTACCGCACGGTAGGCAAGCTAGAGTGGATCTGATCGAAAGATCGGAGTGTTTGAAGCTTGTTGTGGCGGTGACTGTGCTGGCTGGAGCCACCGCCATCGAAAGGGCGGCTACGATAAGCAAGTGGATCAAGGTGGCTATCGACACAAAGACCGCTCTGGGTAATTTGTACGGTTTCTGTGGCGTGATGCTCGGCCTGTGCTTACCTCAGATACAAAGGTTGGCAAATACGTGGCATTTGCTAAGACAGAAGCACACCGATGAGGCGTTTAGCTTCGAGGCAAAGCTCAGGCCCACGCTCCGTGCTATGAACGAGTGCACAAATCCTCAGGCACCAAATACTACTCTTCCGCATCTGTTGCCTATCGCTTTGCTTGGAGAACGAGGATCTGAAGACATTTTAGGTGGGTTGGATAACATTTTTCTGGTTTTGACTTCCTGGGAAATTCTCATTACAGATGTTTCTCCGATAGTTGTTACTCATCTGAAACAAATGTTTAACGTTAGGTATATGTAATAAAACTTAAATCATTTTTCCAGGAACGGTAGCTCCGTCAGGCCTGGCAGCAGCAATTTTATCGACCTGGGAGAATTCAGCCCCAGACTGTGGATTATCCATCGTTTGGTCCCACTTGGAATCGGCTCGCAAAATGGCGGAGAATCTTCCATTATTCCGCAGGAACGCAGAGATCGTGCTTGAGGGATCCAGAAGCGACGAATTACTATCCGATGCGTTTCGAACGGAGTTCCACATAAAATTCTTGTGGGGCAGTCGTGGGGCCACTGTCGCACCGGAAGAGAGGCACCTGAAATTTACACAAGTGTTAGATGCAATGTTCGATAAATGTTCGTCGACTGAAATAACGGCCTAACCGCGACCAAAGGAGAATATTTTTAGATAGCAGATTACTCGACGACGTTCAATAAAAGAACTTTTGTTTTCTCGAGAGAGCGAGACAAGCGTTAGAAGAGAAGGGACCCGAACACTCTTTTGCGTTCACTTAGTTTCTACGTGTAAATTATGATTGTGTAATTATGTAATTAAGTGACTGTAATTAATTGTACTTTCGTAGGGTTTAATATTTTATTTGATAAGGTTCGCGATCGATTGTGATTGAATGCACTTAGCAGACCACGCGTTTTAGATGTACGTTTTGCCGTGATCGGGCCGTTTTCCCGCGATTTTTGCCGGTTTGCAAACACTTTCTTCTAACAACGTAGTTCGTAAGCGTAAACCCTTGAAACGTGGTTCCTCCATCGCGACGAATGATACTTTTGTAAGAGGAACAATGGAACAACGAAATAACGTATCTTTATGGGATATATTTGTCGCGATGGTGGAAACGTATCCCGGAGGAACAAAGAATCAAAAGCAGATAGCATTAACGTGACTTGGACGTATTGTAACACAGATGTAACGATAAAACGTTATTTAGCGCAATAACGATTCCCGAGGACGAATAAAGATCCTTTTACTATTAACAGGAAATACAGTAGTTAACGTCTGTCAAGAAATGTAGGCGACAATATGATAATCAAATCGAATTGAACTTGACGTGTACTTAAGCTCTAACCGATCCTATTATTATTATTATTATTATTCGGCCGATTATACGTTGTAAATGTTGTTCACGTTTGTTCACATTTAATAATATATACGGAAAATGAAAATCAGCTTCGCATTTTAATTCCTACCCCCTTTCTTTATCGCATTGTTTATACGAGACTTCTTTTCCCAAAAAAAGAAACCACTCGTCATCAAATATGTACAAGTATAAAAAATCATTGTACATTTAGAAATGTTTTTGAAATACCGCTTAAATTATAATCATATAATAAATTAAAATAAATTATATTATAAGTCGTAGAATTACATAACGCGATACATTTTTAAATAATAAAAACATAATATATTTATTATACCTTGAAGGATCTTTTCGTCTTTTTATTAAGAAGGTATATCGATGATTATTGTTTATGAAAAAGAATGCTATATCTTTGTTTCACAATGTGCCCTGCCATACCAGATGCTCCCTATTCCAATAACGCCGTACAATTACGTACTCCCACTACTTCTGATAAAATTATCAAACACACGGTTGTGGCTTTGGTTAGTCCCATTCTGGACAACTCGTGTCATCGTGTTTACCAGTTTCAATTTTCACTCCAACTGCTCGTCGTTTCCTTAATTTTTTACGTATTGTCATCTCCTAAAATAAACAATCGCTGATAAAGCTGCAGTTCTTTTAAGTATATATACTCATTATAACGAACTCGTTTGTATTGCTGGATATGATATATATATATATAATGGAGGATGGATAGAATTGAAAATTAGAGTGGCTCACTTACGTATATTGATAACTCCATGTGATGTGATCTGGACAATCAGCAAACATTTTGCAAAATTTATATTGTCAAGCTGGAGACTACGACACGTTCTTCAAAATTTGTCTGTAATTTAATGAAGTAAAAATGATAAATATTTTATTTAACTTTTTAATAATACGTATTTATATGTTAGTATTTTATTAATACTATTTATACAATCTTATCTTTTATTTGTTTCTTGAATTATTGTTCGTATTGTCTTTAACTTCTTGATCTACTATTTAGACTAAAATATTTGATTAAATATTGAAATGTACAGAAAATACGTACGATGCAGAACTCTTGCTGCCTGGCTTTGAATTAAAAATGGCGGAAATTTATTTCTCCACCTAACGGCGCAGTTTGTAACTATTAATTCCCATAGGATATATGATAAAATACCGATAATATGAAATAAATGAAAATAAACTGAAACTTATCAACCTATCAATAGATTTTACGAATATA